TTTTTTTTTTTTCCTTCCCCTCCCCCATGGGTTTCTGTTAAGTTTCTCAGGATCCACATAAGAGTGAAAACATATGGTATCTGTCTTTGAGAGAGAGAGAATCTTAAGCAGGCTCCATGCTCAGCACAGAGCCCAACATGGGGCTTGATCCCATGACCCTGGGACATGACCTGAAATCAAGAGTTGGACACTCAAGTGAGCCACCCAGGTGCCCCAGCCCACTGATTACTTTTCTTTGCTTGCTCAACTTTTTCATTTTCCTGTAATTAATAGCTGTCTGTTTTTCTCACTTGTGTTGTTTCCTATCCACTTATAATGAATTCATTCCCCAATCTTCCCTCATTGTCTAAATCTCAATATGCTGAAATTCATCAAGTACTCCATCAATTTCATCCTCTTGAAGAAGTCTTTCCTGGATAGATCTGATCTACTCCACTCTATATTGGTCACTTTTTACTCCTGGGGCTCAGCTGCTGCCTTGAAGTTTCCTTTTACTATCATCTTTGATAATCCTGTCCCTCTCTCTCTTGTTACATTCTTGGTTCCCATAGGTTTCTCTTTCTTGGATCTCTTTCTTTCTTTCTTTCTTTCTTTCTTTCTTTCTTCCTTCCTTCCTTCCTTCCTTTCTTTCAGAGAGAGAGAGAGAGAAAGAGAGAAAGCATCAGTGGGGGAGATGGGCAGAGGGAGAGAGAGAGAATTGTAAGCAGGCTCCATGCTTAGCACAGAGCCCGATGTAGGGCTCAACCCCATAAAGGTGAGATCATGATCTGAGCCAAAATCTAGAGTTGGAAGCTCAACTGACTGAGACACCCAGTCACCCCTCTCTTTCTTGGTTCTATCCATTGTTTTTATGGAGCAGCTCCAGTAGCTTCTGAGAATGGGGTGCATGGGAAGTAATTTATTGAGACTTTGCATATCTGAAAATATCTTTACCCTCACATTCACTGATTGTTTTTCAGGTATAGAATTGTAGGTCAGAAATTATTTTCTTTGGCATTCTGAAGGCATTGCTCATTCCATTGCCTTCTAGGTGCCAAGTGCTGCTGTTGAGAAGTTCAGACCCATTCTGGCACATGACCCTATGTAACTAATTTTTTTTCCTGAAATAATAAGGAAAATTTATTATCTCATGTAACAAGAAGTCCAAAAGGAGAGAAGTTTCATTATTGGTTAGCTCATCAACGGCCTACATTCTTTCCATCTTTATGTTCTTTCAGCCTCAGCTTGGAGGCCTTCCTAGGCTGTCTCCTCTCATGGTCATAAGATGGCTGCCATAGGTTCAGGCATCATATCCAAACACTACAATACACAGTAGCAGAAGAGAGTCATCTTTTTCTTTTATGTGTTTTTTTTAAAAAAATGTTTCCTTATTTTGAGAAGGGGGGGAGAGGGAGAGAGAGAGTGAGTGGGGGAGGGGCAGAGAGAGAGACACACACAGAATCCGAAACAGGCTCCAGGCTCTGAGCTGTCAGCACAGAGCCTGACACGGGGCTCAAACCCACGGACTGCAAGATCATGACCTGAGCTGAAGTCAGATGCTTAAATGACTGACCCACCCAGGTGCCCCTCTTTTGTGTCTTTCTTAAAATGAAAAAACATTTCACAGAAATTTCTCACTGACTTCCCTTCCCATATCTTTGGCCAGAGCTGGCTCAGAAAACTGCCTTTAATTCAATCACCAACAAAGGGGAATAAGATCATCTTGATTGGCTTGGACCATCATGCTGGAGATGTGGTCCCTTTTCCTGAGGAACAGATATCTGAACAAAGTTGGGATCCTGTTAGCAGGTAAGGGACGTGGCTGCTGATAGGCCACCAATTTACAGCATGGAGTCTGGCACATAGTAAGCATTTAATATATGTTAAGCTATTATTATTATTAACTCTTTTTTAAAAATGTTTATTTTTGTGAGAGAGCGTGAGCAGGGGAGGGGCAGATGTGGTGGTGGTGGTGGGGTGGGGTGGGGAACAGAGGATCCAAAGCAGGTTCTGCGCTGACAGCAGTGAGCCTGATGCAGGGCTCAAACTCATGAACCTCGAGATGATGACCTGAGCTGAAGTCAGATGCTCAACTGACTGAACCACCCAAGTGCCCCTGTTGTTAACTCTTAATAGTTGTGTTAAACTTATCCAAATCACATACCTTCTAGAGCTCCAATTTCCTCATCTGTAAAACTGGGATAGGATCATCTGATTTGTTGGATCTTTATAAAATTAAGAGAGATTGCATGTGTAAAGTGCTTGATAAATGATAGCTATTTATTTTAGTTGCCTATGATTATTGCCAGAGTACTTGGGCAGCACATTGAGGCTCCAACAAAGATTCCTGAGGTCGGCTCCGGCCTGGTTTAATAAATTTTTTCCTGCAGCTAATAGGATCTTCTCTTTGTCCCTTGTATTCTAAAATTTCATGACCATGTGCCTTGATATAGTTGTGTTTTTTACTTAGCCTTTGCGCTCGACACACAGTGAGCCCTTTCAGTCTGGAAACTGATATCCTTCAAGTCGGAGAAATTTTCTTGAATTATTTCTTCAATGATTTCTGCCTTTCCATTTTCCATGTGTTCTTATTCTGGAACTCATTCATATGTTGACCTTCTTGACTGACGCAGTGCTCTTATTATCTTTTATCTCCTATTTTCCTTCTCTTTGTCTTTTTGCTTCACATGCTAGGAGATTTCCTCAACTTTAGCTTCCAGTCCTCCTATTGAGTTTTTCATTTCTGCTACCTTATTTTTAATTACCAAGAGTTGTTTCCTATTCTCTAAATGTTTCCTTTAGATTGGTTTCCTTTTTATTTGGTTGTAGTATCTTATTTTTCAGAAAATATTAAATATCAAAAATGATATCTCTCAGCATAGTCTCTGTTTCCTCCAGGTTCTTTTTCCCCCTCAATGTTTGGCCTCTGTCTTGTACCTTAGAGAGTTTCCCAAGATGTGTGGTAGTCCCAGGATATCTTGCTCACATTTAAGATTATAACTGAGGGGCGCCTGAGTGGCTCAGTCGGTTAAGTGTCCAACTTTGGCTCAGGTCATGATCTCGCGGTTCATGAGTTTAAGCCCCGCACTGGGCTCTGTGCTGACAGCACGGAGCCTGCTTGGATCTTCTGTCTCCCTCTCTCTCTGCCCCTCCCACTCTCTCTCTCAAAAATAAATAAATATTTAAAAGAAAGAAAGAAAATCCTTTAAAAAATAAGATTATAACTGCAAAGCCTGATTGGAAGAGAGCTTGGTGGGGGCCATCGATTATAAATTTCACTATCATCTAGCTAGACCCTTATACTGATACCTGGATATTTATGTCTTTTGTCTTCGGCTGTCAAATTCTCAGAGAAGCTTCCAATCCTGTCTGGAGAATATATATCTAACTTTTAGTGAAGGTCATTTGAGAGAAGAGGGCTGAGGTCCAGAGGTTCAGTAAGCCTTTGTTTAATCCCTATTTTCAATACAGGATCCCACCCTCAACAGTGCTTAATGTCCCCCAGTCCAGAGACCCTCTACTCTCCAGAGAATACACCTTAGTATTCAGCTAGAGTTGGGGGGAGCAGCAGTTGCTTTGCTGAGGATAGAGATCTGGGTTTAACTTTGCTTCTACTACCAACATTGCCTGTTATTATGTCATTGTCTCTCAACTCTAAACCCAACCTTTCCGTACTCAGCTTTGCATCACTGGTGTTGAGTCTCTTCAAACCATAGTAATTTGGCCAGCTATCCCTTGTTAGACTCTACCCACGGAGGGCAATAGAGGGAACCCGGAAGGCTGGGGAAAGAAGGATCACATTGTTTAT